TTTATAAGTTTAGGTGAATTAAACCTTATATTTTCTATTTTATATTCTTCTGATTGATCTTTTATTATCCATCCAAAACCTTTAAAACACGTTTAGCTATATTTTCATTTCCACATCCCTGTGAACGACACTAATATGCAACCATAAGCTTCAATCTAAAGGCATTTCTTCTATCTCTCCCTGCTGCTTTAGTTGCTGTTGTTCTCATTGCTTTATTAATTCCTCTATTTTCATTAAATGTGTTTATTTTAATGCTGCTCTATATATAATCTATCATATATAATCACCCATCATCTATGATTGATCTCATCAAACCTTATAAATATGCAGGACTGATTGTTTACTTTCTCTCCATCTTTTCCTGTTTTTGCTCTCATCAGATTTAGGATTTTCTTACATTTCGTCTCTATTTTTTCTAAATGTGTTCTCCATGTTTCTTTTTCATCCAACCATTTACAGAATATTTAAAATGACTTCCTGTCTCCATTTTGTGACCATATAATTCCAAATTCTGCTTATCTTGTTCTTTTTTCTACATATCATATTACAACATATACGTGTCGGATCTTAAAGCCCCATTCATCACCATTTTTCAATTTCTCTCATTTCCTCCTTGATTCTATTTCTACTATTTTGTCCAAACGGCGCCATCATCAGCATATAAAGCTGATCCAATCCTTCTATCTACTTTCATTAAAATATAATTAATCATTACATTAAATAATACTGGGCTAATGACACTGCCTTGTGGAATTCCATTATTTATTTCAAATTGTTCTAAGACTTTAGATCCTACTTTATCTCTAAAGTTTCTGTTAGAAAATCTAGAACCTGATTATAGAATCTACCTCTAATTCCCATCATATTTAAATTAATAATCCTTCCGCCACATTGAATCATGAGCCTTTTCTATGTCTAAGAAAACAATGTTCATTATTTCTTTCATTCAAAAGCTTTTTTCATCTAATTTCTAACTTTCAGCATCTATGGTAGAACGTCCTTTTCTGACATGCTGCAGAGATTCCTTGTTTCTTTTAGTCTTTTTAGTATTATTTTTGTACAGAAATACGATGTTAGGCCGATAGATCTATGATTTCCACCGTTGTTAGGATTTTTCCCAGGCTTATTAAATGGTAACATTTAATAAGCCTAACATATCCATATTCCATATATCAAATCTTTTAGTTTCACTCATTTTCTTTAACAGTATCAAACCTCTCCTATTTTAACTTCACCTCCTATTGTAGATCAATAACTTCTCCATGTGTTTCTCTGTTCTTTATAACTCTACGTGTTTTTTTCCTCTGATAGTTAATCAAATTTTCTTGACTCAGATTTTTCTTTAACTTTCTAAATGCTTTATTAGGTTCTTTAATTGCTTTTCTACATTCATCGTTCCACCACTTTTAGAAGAACATTCCTCCATATCTTCCTTTATTGAAATTGATTCTACTGATTTTTTACATATTTCTTTAATTTTTTCCCAATCTGCTTTTTCAAACTTCTATTTCTTCTAAATAGGCTTTTCTTGTACATCTATTCTAACATTCCCAGTTAGTATTATCGGATAATTATCACTGCTTTCCTCCTCATTCTGCTCACATGAACCTGCCAGACTGTCTGATAGTATAGTCAGATCTATGCATGTGATCGTGTTAGAATGAATATCTATTCTAGTCCCTTTTCCATTATTTAAACATTCTAGTTTTCTAACATCTATTAAATCTTCAAAGGCTATTCTGTTCATTAAAACATTGGAAATTATTCCTTCCCTTACAAATGTTGCCCCCCCGCCCCCCCCCCCAACAGATTCATATCCAGGTAGAATAAAATCAAGGTGAGGTTTTAGTGTTTCTCCTACATAAATAACATCAGATTTAACTTCAGAATCTATTAAATACTTTTTAAGCTCTTGTCCATTTCCAATCAAACTTCTATCGTTCCATTGGAAGAACTGGAGAACGGTTCTAAGTTTAATTAGACCCTCCATCGTTGTTGATGCTTAGCATTGCATGAATATCTTCATCTTTAATGTCTGTGATATCTAGAAACTCTAGGGCAGCTTCTATAACTGGAACATGATGTGACTTTGATGACTTTGCATATTAAAGCTATAAAGGCCTTATTTTCTGCAGTCAGTGAACTTTCTTCCATGATGCCCTCATGGCTACATGTCTGCTGTGAACCTGTGTTCTTTCTCTCCTTGTGTGTATTCTCTGGGTACTCCTGCCTCGTTCCATCATTTAATTCATATTCTGTTTTGTTCCAAGGCACCAACCTTTCCTCCAGCCTCTGAATGACACTTTAACATTTTATATTTCTGCACTTCTTTAGCTTGTTTCTGAACCTCACATTAGCAGCACTTTGCTCTCCTCACAATTACAGCATTTTAGTTTAGCTTCCTTATTCATTTGCCTTACTCGTGTTCTCCCACATTACACTGATGCACTGTGTGTCCCATCCTTTGGCATTTAAAGCATCTTAAGGTTGAGGAATAAATTCCCTAACTTTATACTTTATCCATCCAGTTTTCACCTCTGGAGGTCATTATTATTCCTGCTATCTGTTTTAATACCATCTCTGTTTGTTTGGAGTCTTTAGCCTCTGTAACTTTCACACCTTTTATTTTCTTCATTTCCTCCATGGATGTTTCTAAAGGACGTTTGAAACGCCTCCTCTTCATCTAGCTGCCATTCGGGGATGTTTACTTTAATTTTTTCTCCTTCATTTTTAACATCATTTCTTGTTTTTAACTTACTGCTGAGATCCAGATTCTTCTGTTATTTAACAGTTTAACATATTTATTTATTCCTATTTCCTTTTCTGTTGCTTTAGTGATTAGAACAGGATGAAAATGTCCCTGTTTGCTGCTAATTATAGTTTTCCATTCTTCCTGTTTTCTTTCCTCGTAGCTACGGCTATCATTAGCATTAGCTTTAATCTGTTTAGCATTTTTCCTTCTGTTACTTTGTTCTTCAGAAATAACTTCCAACCATAATTTCTTCCTTGTCATTTTGCCGTATCTCCATATCAGAACGCCATTCATCAGAACTACGGCCCGTCGCTCCACTCAGCTGGTTGCAATCTGCTTCTTCAAATCTCCCGCCAATATCTTCTGCGTCTCTCGGAAACCGGATCGCCGGGTCGTCACAACTTTAATCCGGAAGTCCTGGGTGAGGCGTTCAGGTGCTGCGGGAAACTGCAGCTCCGGATGATTCTGTCTGGTTTAGCTTCGAGTTTCTATTGATTTTCTGTTCTGCCAGTAATAAAATAATTAGTTAATCTTTCTTTCTGACGCAGAAACCAAACAGACGTTAGCATCTTCTGTGGAAACTAAACGATTATTAACTTAAGGCAGAATTTTAAACTAAATGAAGCTTTGAGGTTTTAGGAATTTAGAAAGATGCCTGTAACTGAATTTTAATTAAATTGAGAATGGGACTTTTAACCTTTTAAAGCCTGAATTCTTGCAGTAATTTTCAGAAAATTTTAATTCTTTTGAAACCTCATTAAATATTCTGAAAATATAATTAAAACAATAGCTGACTTATTGATGCTTTAGGCATTTCTGTGTGAGTTAATATAAAATGGTGATTTCACTACATGTGTCTGAGTGAATTTCAGGTTTTTGAAAAGCAAAAATATCAAAAGTGTTAATTATTCACCATCTTAGATAATCATTACTTTTAAAACAACCATAAATAATTTCCTGTTATGATTTAACTGAGATCTGACCCACATGCAGTAAACCAAACAGAGAGACCAGGGGAAGTTTAACAGGTTTATTGAGATGAACTCAGTGTTGCTCTGAACACTGTTCAACCGGAACTGGAAGGTGAGGGGAAGACACTGCGGTTAGTTCAGGCTCAGTGGGAAATTTGAATCTTGAACTTGAAGAGGAGAAATAGGTTGCTGACTCATGTTTCCAGAAAATGGTTGACACTTTGACTCCAGTCGGTGTGGGGGTGTTCCAGTGTTTGTCTTTTTCGATGGAGGGCGGACAGGGTTTACCCAGAATGCGGTTGTTAGTTGGAGAACGGAGAGGCTGACTGACACTTAGATTTCCTGCGGTACTTGAACGGGTTGCTGTGGAGATGGATCCCCTGCTCAGAGAGAAGCCCAAACGATCTTTGGGGGGAAAAGTTGATCAGAACCACAAACTTGAATCCTGAACTCAGTTTGGTGCTCAGAGAATCCTTCCAGGGGAGAGAAGGTCCGAAACATCCAGTTTGCAGGATGACCTCCTGCCCAGAGGCAAAGACAAAACAACGAGGTTAAAACTCAGGGAGAAAAAAACTCAGCTTGGCTAGAGTTCCCTAAACTGGCAAAGACTCTGGCATCGAGGTAGTGGCAGGTAGCAGCGTAAGAGCACTCTGGTAATGAGGTAACCATCCACAGGTGTGAGAGGAGGTGGACCAGGACCAGGCGCCTCCTGGTGGATGAAGGAAGACAAACACAGAAACAAACTACACAGACTGGAATCCTAACACTTCCTCCAGTTTATTTTGGTCTGTTATTCTTCAACTAATAATCTTCTCCCTATGGAAGCAGCTCCAACGCCTCCTTTCACTGACAGTCTGGCCAATCATTGGCCCCCGCTGCACCCGCCCTACCAGCTGATCGGTGATCTTCATCTGATAGAATTACTATTTATTTATAATCAGCATCTTAAACTTTTGTATATTTTTTATTCTTAATTTATTAAACTAAATCCTCCTATTGTCCCTTATATCGATCAATTTTACTACATTTTTTAAGATATCGATATAATCATTTAATCCATTTACTATCAAACACCTTTGGTTATGTTTTATTATTAACACCTGAACTAATAACCAGCTGCTGCTGTTCTTCCTTCTCCAACCTGCTGACTTTATTTTCCAAACTAACTTCTGATTCCCAGAAACGTTTCATCTCCTTTCATCTGCCTTCAGTTAATGACAGAGATTGAAAACCAGCAGTTCTTTCCACCATGTGAAATAGGAGACCCCCCCGGTTATCTATAAATAGCAGTGGCAGCTGAGTGGCAGCTGATCCAGAACCAACCTCTCCCTACATGCTTCTCTGTTGGTTTCATTCCCGTCTGGATCAGGACCATCAGCAGGTAAATCTGCTTTTTATTCTCCACTTAGAACAATCCTCCCTCAGTTCCTCCCTCAGACTGCAGGGGGCGCTGCTTTTCACAGCTTCCATCATTATTCACCACGGAGTACTGGTGAACCGGGTCAGGACCTGAAGGTTCTGGATTTAAAGCAGTTTAAACATGTTCAGAGCCCCGATTAGAGCGGGCCCTGCTGGTACCGACCCGTTTCCCCGCCTCCTCCAGAAAGCAGCGTGGAGCTGATTCACCTCGCCTGGACCAGACCTGACCGGGACCAGGGCCTGACCGGGACCAGACCTGAACCGGACCTCACCTGGACCAGAGCTGACCGGGACCAGACCTGAACCGGACCTCTCTTGGACCAGACCTGAGCGGGACCAGGGCCTGACCCGGGCCTCACCTGGACCAGACCTGACCGGGACCAGGGCCTGACCGGGACCAGACCTGAACCGGACCTCTCTTGGACCAGACCTGAACCGGACCTCACCTGGACCAGAGCTGACCGGGACCAGACCTGAACCGGACCTCTCTTGGACCAGACCTGAGCGGGACCAGGGCCTGACCCGGGCCTCACCTGGACCAGACCTGAACCGGACCTCACCTGGACCAGAGCTGACCGGGACCAGGGCCTGAGTCGGACTTGGCCATAGTAGAGAAGAGTCTTTTGATGGTTGTACTCAGACATTAAGGACCAGAGTTTTAAAAATGTCCTAAATTGTGTTTAATATCTTTGATTTCTTTTGCTGATGTTAAAAACTATCATTTAAATTTTAAGCTCATTTAATATTTTTTATGGACAACTGAATGGAAAGATTTTTTTTCTAGAGGACAGGTTCTGGACAGACGTGTCTCACAGGTAGGATCTGTACTGCAGCAGGTACGGAAAGCCAAAAGGGCCACAAATTACATGAATATCCAACTTTGATTTTTAGATCCAAATAGACAGAATCGTTTATTACTGATAAATGTTTCCTGTTTTTCATGTAAATCATATTTTGATGACATATTCTGGCCACATGCTGCAGACGGAGGAAGGTCGTAATGATTTAGGTCTGGAGCTGATCTGACTTCCATTATTCAATTTATTAAAGGAAACAAACATGATGTTATTTTAAACAAATGACAGAATTTTATTCAAGCATTTAATTAAAACTGACTTTAATGATGACTGTTAGAAGAAAGGTGCATTAGTTTTAGCTCTGAGTGTTTAATGTGCTGTAATCTGGATTGTGGATCTGATTAGATTATGTTTCTAGTTTCATTGTGACACAAAGACTTGGATGCTGCTTTTCCTCTGGAAAGACTTGATATGATCCTGATACCCTCTGGTTTTTGGCCTTGACTTGGTCTCAGGTCAGGTGACCTCGACTATAATGCTGCCTGACTGGCTCTACCTGAAAGGACACGATGCACTCGTTCAAAATGGAACAGCGGTCCGAGTCGTTCATTTGGTCATGTCGTCAATAATTCAGGGACTGTGTCTGTAATTTAAACCATGGGACTTGGACTAGACCTTCAGCAATTCTCTTGGGAGTAATGACTCGGCCTCTAAAGGGAGAGAGAAACCACAGCAGCCTGGACTAGAGAGGTGGAGTTCAGCAGAGGATGTAGGAACCTGGTTTAAACCCCCCAGTCTGCCATGTGGGGGCCGGAGCAGGACCCTTTCTGTTGAACTCACTAAATCAGAATAACTTTGATCTCAACAAACACATGTTCAATATTTTTATGCTCCGTGGGCTCCCTGTGTGGGCGGCGCCCGGGGAGCAGTGGGCTGCCACCCTGCGGCGCCCGGGGAGCAGTGGGCTGCCACCCTGCGGCGCCCGGGGAGCAGTGGGCTGCCACCGGGCGGCGCCCGGGGAGCAGTGGGCTGCCACCCTGCGGCGCCCGGGGAGCAGTGGGCTGCCACCGGGCGGCGCCCGGGGAGCAGTGGGCTGCCACCCTGCGGCGCCCGGGGAGCAGTGGGCTGCCACCGGGCGGCGCCCGGGGAGCAGTGGGCTGCCACCCTGCGGCGCCCGGGGAGCAGTGGGCTGCCACCCTGCGGCGCCCGGGGAGCAGTGGGCTGCCACCCTGCGGCGCCCGGGGAGCAGTGGGCTGCCACCCTGCGGCGCCCGGGGAGCAGTGGGCTGCCACCCTGCGGCGCCCGGGGAGCAGTGGGCTGCCACCGGGCGGCGCCCGGGGAGCAGTGGGCTCCATAACATGGGAAGAAATTAATTCACCTGCAAGTCTTCAGGTCTTTTATTGTCTTCATACGGATGATTCTGGCATCCAGCTCATGAAAACCCCAAATTCCCATCTCACAAAATTAGCATATCCTGATAAAGGTCTCTAAAGGAGCTATGCACCTAATCATCTGAATCAACAAATGAACTCTAAACACCTGAAAAACATTCCTGAGGCCTTTAAAACTCCCAGCCTGGTTCATCAGTCAGAACCCCCATCATGGGTCAGACGGCCGACCTGCCTGCTGTCCAGAAGGCATCATTGACCCCCTAAAGCCAGAGGCTATGACACAGAGAGATGTTTCTGAACCAATAGGCTGTTCCCAGAGTGCTGCTGCATCAAGGCACCTCAGTGGGAAGGAAAAAGTGGCAGAAAACGCTGCACAACCAGAAGAGGTGAGCGGACCCTGAGGAAGATAGTGGAGAAGGTTCGATTCCAGACCTTAGGGGACCTGAAGTAGTGGACTGAGTCTGGAGTAGAAACATCCAGGGCCACCGTGCACAGGCGTGTGCAGGAAATGGGCTACAGGTGCCGCATTCCCCAGGTCAGCCACTTTAGAACCAGAAACAGCAGCAGAGGCGCCTGACCTGGGCTACAGAGAAGCAGCTCTGGACTGGTGCTCAGTTTTTCATGTCATCTGGAAATCAAGGAGCCAGAGTCTGGAGTCAGACTGGGGAGAAGGAAACGCCAAAATGCCAGAAGTCCAGGGTCAGTAGCCTCAGTCAGTGATGGTCTGGGGCGCCATGTCAGCTGCTGGTGTTGGTCCACTGGGTTTTATCAAGGCCAGGGTCAATGCAGCTATCAGGAGATTTTGGAGCACTTCATGCTTCCATCTGCTGAAAAGCTTTATGGAGATGAAGATTTCATTTTTCAGCACCACCTGGTACCCACTCACCAAGCTGAAACCACTTGTAAATGGTTCACTGACCATCACTGGGCTCAATGGCCTGCCAACCTCCTGACCTGAACCCCATAGAGAATCTGTGGGATATTGTAAAGAGAAAGTTGAGAGACAGAAGACCCAACACTGTGGATGTGCTAAAGGCTAAATGCTATGGAAGCATCCTGGGCCTCCATAACACCTCAGCAGGCTGATAGCCTCAATGCTACACCGCATTGAAGCATTCATGTCTGCTAAAGGATTCCCCACCAAGTATTGAGTGCATAACTGTACAGAATTAACTGAAGGTTGACTCACCACCCCTCCAAACCACACCTTCAAAACACATGAAAGTGCATCCTGTCTGCAGCGCGTCTAGAGCAGCTGAAGCAGCATGTCGCACAGAGCTGGCAGGGAGTCAGACGCAGCACTGCTGATGCAGAGCGCTATGATCACTCCTCTGAAACAGTTTATTAACGCCTAAATTAACTTCAAATGTAGAAACCTGCCGGCAGAATATGTTGGCTTTTATTATCCTGCTGCCTGCAGTTTGTAGCACAGACCTGAAAAACGCTAACATCTACTTCCAGCCGCCACCAACAGGAGGGGAAAACCCTGGAGAGGCGAGCGGGCCTGAGGCAGCTGCTGCTGGGGATTCCCAGTGACAGCGCAGCGCCAGTATGTGGGGGTCTGAGCGGCTCCCACAGAGAAATAATCTTTGAAGGCAGGATGGTAATCTGGTGATGAAGATTCTCAGTCATCCAGGTCATAGTCATTCCGTTAAAGTTCAAAAAATATCCACTGGACTTGTTTTCCAAGATTTGAAGACGTTTCTCCACCTCTCCAGGAAGCTTTCTCAATTCAAATGTCTGGATCCGCAGTGAGTTTCAGTCTTATATGGACGAAGCCTGGTATTGCTTGGAAACATGCATGTTTCACAACCTCTAATGGGAATTTTACTTTAAGCATTCAGATAGACACCTAAAAACATCCTTTCCACAAACAATGGAGAAGAGTTCCTTTTTCAGATAAACATTTAGTATCTGGAATATATCTGGACATATGATGAAGCCTAACTGGTGTTATATAGGTTCTCATCAGACATTTATATTGCAGAAGTTTAAATCATGTATTAATTGTTTGTTTTTGTGCTTTTAAACATGACTGATTCCAGACTTCTTCATCTATATGTTCAAAGGTGTCTCTTCTCCAAGCGTATAACTATTGCTGAATCTTTTGAGAAAAACTTCTCTAATTGTAGAACACTGATAGAAAACCTTTCCCTTTTATTATCTAACTCTAATGAAGCAGTGTAAATAAGTGATGGAAAGTAAGCAACCTGCCATCATTAAATAGATCTTTCCTTTTCTGAACGCCTTTGGTTTCCCATAGTTTAAATGCTCCATCATTTTTCCCTGGGGGAACTTTTCATCACCCCATATATGCTGATATCTCTGGAAGGTCGCCTACATGTTTATCTGCTGAACGCCAAATTATAATTATACTTTTTAAGAAAAGATTCTTTGTAGTTTTTTTAGTGTCCTGATATCAGAATAATATAGAAATGTGTTTAAGGGGAAATCTGGAGCAGATTGCTGTAGGATGTCAACCCAAGCTGGAGGCATCCTCAGATTAAAGCAATGAGTAGCTGATGTTAGCTGGGCGGCCATATTGTACCATCTGAGATGCGGGACTGGAAGTCCTCCTCTTTCTGAAAGAGTAGCCTGAAACTGAGCCTTGCTTTTCTATTACTCCTAATAGAATGGACTGATGTAGGGAGATCCAGATCAGGAGGAGCCGTTTTTAAACCTAAAGCTTCAATTTGTAAAAAAGTTTAAAAAAGAAAGAGCTGAGAGAAGTAGAAGAAAAAAAAACAAGAGAGATTACAGAACAAAGAGGCTTG